CCATAACTTGTACTTAGTGGGTGATCACCAATTATTGTTTACCAAGTAAATCAATTAATTGATTTTTCTTCTTAATCTGGTTATTTGAATAGGTGGTAATTGTAAAGTAATAAGTTAACGTTTTAACTTAGCAGATAAGAGCTCTAGAACTGAACATGGAAATGATTATAAAATAGACATTTCCCTGGGGAATATTTTTTTGAAAGGTCATTTTATGAACATGGAAAATTCCTCTACTAATCAAGAGAGATAGCACTAAAGCATAGCTGCAGGTCAAGTGCAGGTTACAAAGGTGTTTTATAGGGTGATCCTTGACTTCCTCCTCCTTTAAGTACAATGAAAGTATTGTTACTAAAAGAAATCTTTCATCTTCCATTATCACTTCCTTTTAGTAACAGGAATATCAGCATATATTTCTCATCTGGTAGAAAACATAGCTTACTTCAAAACATTATTTTCCACTGCTCATTGGGATTATGAATGATATTTACATGTTCTTCCAGTTATTTATTTAAAAAGGCATGTAATAAGAAACTTGCTCCCCTTTGTAATTTGACCCAGGAAAATTCACTCTAGTGGTAAAAGATTTAATACTTGGTGAGTGTTTTGTTGTTTTTGTTTTGTTTTGTTTTTTGCTAAAACTACCTATAAAAAAGGAAATGATTTTGCCAATTCAGAATTAATTAATCCTTATTGAAAAATTCACATTCATCCTTTGGAAAATTCTTCTTTAGTAAAAGCGTGACAACCATAACAGCCATAGAGAATATATAGTGACCCAATTTGGGCATGTCCCACAGAGTAACAGATGCCTCCTTGCTTTCTTGTTTACTGTGTGAAGTATTTTGCATTATCATGTGTGTATAATGGTAGTCAGGAACAGAAGATAGCCACCATATTGAATGTGAGAAAGTATGTGTGTTCAATTGATACTGTTTCTCTACTGTAAACTGAACATTTTAGATTATATATATTCATAACCTCACTTACATTGATCCTATGAGACTGGTGTCATTTTGTGCATTTTACAGATGAAATGAACACAGTTCAAAGGGGTTTAAGTGACTTTCCTAAGGTCATACAGGGAGAAATGATTGAGCCAGCAGGCGTTCAAACCCAGAACAGGCCATCCCCCAAAATCTATACTCTTTTCCTAGTCAACAGATAGCCTGAAAGATCAACATATGTTCCAGTGGGAGGAGTGGGGAGAATAGCAAGGCTTGACTTCTCATAAATTCAAGAAAACCTTGTGGAAAATCTTTGCTAAACCATTCCCCCCGCCCCAGAACCATATTTGTTTTGGCGTAACAATGCCTAAAGTGATACGAGAAGAGAAGAGAATTGACTTTGCTACGGTTTGAAATGAATGCTATTCTTTGAAGTGTTGCCATTCCTTTGCAATAATCTCCTTTTCATTAGAAAAAGATGCTTGCATGTATAAATGAAAATATTTCTTTCATAAAAAGTTTATCATACCAGCACTAACTTATCAGATGTTACATTAAAAGAAATAATTTGAAGAAAATACTTGGAAATAATCTAAAATTCTCTTTCATAAAAGAGTAATAGAAATGTTCGGACTAAGATAGTTTACTCCAAATATTGTTTGTCTTGTCAAATAAATTGGTTTCAGAGGATAGTTTGGTAAAGTAGGCTCCTCTGTAGTTCATGTGGGAATTCAAAATAGAAAGCAGCTCAGCTCCATGACAAACAGGGTTTATGCAGTAGAATGTAATAGTCCCAAGAAGTGAATATAGTGGAAATCTTCTAAAGAAAAAGCTACAGTGAGGAGAAAGGAAATGTAGGTGTAAAATTTGAAATGGATTCATGAAATTTACATTCCACAGAAATCTTAAGCAGATGTTTGTGCACCATTACTCAAACTCTTGATTAAACTAATGAAAGTTATCTAAAGTAAGTTATTAATCATAGTTTTTTATAGTAAAATGTATACAAGTTACCAATCTTTAAGTAGTGTCATGTATTATAAAAGGGTTTTTTAAAGGTGTTAATCCAGTAAAGCAATTGCAATCTATATTTTGGGATTTTTTTTGATCAGTATAATCTTTCCATTTTATTATTTAACCCTCCCAAAAAAGATTTCTATGGGGTCTCCCTGGTGGCACAGGGGGTTAAGACACAACCTATGAAGCAATCAGCAGCCACTGCAGCACACAATTCACCTACATGGCACAGCAGACCTCTCCTGACTCGTCCGCTGCTCCCCTCAGCAGTGTATTTCAGTCAGTCTGTCCTGTTCTGCTCCCCACTTTGTCTCTGGTGAATCCTCTCACCATCCACACCTCTGGCCTGTACCCCAGTTCTTCTATGCATAAATAAATAAATCTTAAAAAAAAAATTTCTAGTCATCAGGGAAATGCAAATCAAAACTACCGTGAGATACCATCTTACACCAGTGAGAATGGCACATATTAAAAAAACTAGCAACAACAAATGTTGGCGAGGGTGTGGAGAAAAAGGAACTCTTCTGCACTGTTGGTGGGAGTGCAAACTGGTCCAACCACTGTGGAAAGCTGTGTGGAGATTTCTGGACCTACTAAACATAGAGCTTCCATATGATCCAGCAATTCCACTCCTAGGTATTTACCCAAAGGACACAGAAACATCAATTCCAAAGAACACCTGCACCCCTATGTTTATAGCAGCACTGTTTACAATAGCTAAGCTTTGGAAACAACCCAAATGCCCAAAAATAGATGACTGGATCAAGAAGATGTGGTACATATATACCATGGAATATTACTCAGCATTCAAAAAAGATAAACACATGCAATTTGCAGCAACATGGATGGCGCTGGAAGGGATCATGCTCGGCGAAATAAGCCAAAAAGAAAAAGAAAAATACCGGATGGTCTCACTCATAGCAGGAATCTAGAAAACTTAAATAAGGGACCAGGAAAATGAATAACTATAAGAAAGTGAAAATCAAAATCAACAAAAAACTATGAACCAGAGACACTTTTAGGGGGGCAGGGGCGGGAGGGGAGGAATTGGGGTCAGAATGGGGGGGCTGCAATTGTATGGGGAATATAAAAATAAAATTTATTATCTAATAAAAAAAATTTCTATAAGGGAAAAAAAATTTTATACTCTAAGAATAGGTTTCTGATTTACTGTCCTTAATAGAATATCTCTGTTGCTAATGTTACCTTTAAATAATTAGTAAAAAGAATTAGTAAGTGTGTTATGGGGGCTTGGGAATGGGAGGGTTATGTCTAAAACCAGACATGGTAATATAGTTTAGTAGATCTCCCTGCAGTGACTCAAAAAAAAAAAAAAAGGCATATGTTTTTATCTTTTTTTGCACCTCTGTCTTAGAGTATATAATAACACTTCTCTCCTATTTTCCCTCTTCATGCATGACTTCCATAACAATTTCCAGGAGAGTTAGATTTTTAAGTAATAGGAAGAAACAGAGTTCAAAGATATTTTGGACTCCTCAGATGGTTATTGCTACTCAGTCTCAGTCTTTCAGTATTTCTTTTATTCCTTTTATTCTGTCCCACTTTGCGCCTTCAAACTTCTGCTTCCTTCCAGCTCAACTCTTATGTCATTGTAATAAAGAACCAGGCAAGTCCAACTGATGTCTATGTATGTTTCAACTGAATCATTCCTAAAACATAAAATTATTAAAGGCCATAGAATTAAACTGTCCCTCACCACTAAACTGAAGAATATAATCAGTGTTTATGTTTACATTTGTCCACCTAAAATATGTCCTAACTTAATTAATTAGAGGATATTTAACTTGGCAATCTAAGGAAGACATTCAAAATAACTTCAGTGAAAATACAGTCTTGTGTGTCACTTCAATACATGATATATACAGATCAGAGACCTGCTACTGCCTAAACTTTTCAGCAAATAGTCTTATTTAAAGACAGATTGTAAAATACAAAGTCCCTAGGGGGTTCTAATTCTTACCTCCATATTCCCACACAGTATACCCAAGTGTTCATTATGATGAAATATTTTCTATTTCCTCTGAATTTGTCCAAATAAATTATACATAGCATCCTCTCTCATAAAACGAGCTCATACAAACAATTCAGAATTTTCAGCCAGAATCTGAATAGACTGCCATAAGCGTTTGATCATATTTATCACCAATCTCTTGGTCACCTGGGAGTACCAGTTCTAGTTAGTCCTGTTCCCTCTTTCATGCTTCTATCGAGAAGTGGATTCTATTTATAGAATTCTGTTTTTTGGAATTATGTATTTGTACCCATCTTATAGGAGTTAATTGCTTGCATTCCAGGTTTAGTGGTTCTGTGTAATGCAAGCCAAACCAACAGAACCAGGTTAATAAACCTTGGAGTGGTTCACCAGTTCTTCCTAAAGTGGCAAAAGTCATTCTGAGCTGTACACTAAATTCTTGTCCCCAAGTTTCTAGTGTTCCCTGTAGCAGGTTTCACTGAGTGTTCACAGAAGAGCAGTATTGATTCAGACCTTCAACTTACTATACTCATTAAGAGGGGCCAAACTAATGGGACAATTCTAACTCAAGAATGGCCAGCACATTTTATTTTGTGAGCTAAGACGAATCAATAAGTAGAGAGAAGACTTCTGGCTCTGGCACTAGCGTAGACCAGATGACTTCAAAGTCCTCTTCTAAAACATTTAGCAAATATAAGGTAAAGTATAGCAGGCATTTCCTTAAGTGCATAGTGGAGCTAGCAGAAATGTTAGAATATTACCAACTACAAAAACGAAAAAGGAGCTGAAAACCAAGATGGTAAGGACACAAGCCACTTCTACAACTAACTTTCAGAGTTGGGTTTCAGTGCCCACTCCAGAAAAGAGAGGGTCTTACAAACTTCATTCAACAAACCTTTATTTTCCAAAAGAAGAGATGCCTCAATTCTTCCCCATTCATCAAACATATTTTGTTTCCCTGTTCAACAATGATAATGACAAATGTTATTGAAATGTAACCTGAGAAAATTCCTTGTTTAATATGTGTTTGTTTTTTTTTTAAGGCCTCTTTTTCGTGGCAGTTCAGATGTGGATCAACTTGGAAAAATCTTGGAGTAAGTAACAATTAATTTTACATCATACTATTAAAACTGTGTCCTTAACATTAAAGCATTTGCAGTAAGTTTTCCTTGATGTTCCTGTAATATAATATATATAATATCTTTACCTCTTATCTTTCCTATCCCAAGCTACTGCTATAGACAATTCCTATTTGTGTGGTGAGTGGGGACATGGTAAATATGCTGTTTTATGCAAAGCCCATAATGGCATGTGGCCTAATGGCTCTGTTCTGAAAGCTTGTATGTTGTTTGTGTGTATCTTTTTGCAGCTCCTCTTTCTTTGCTTGACTGAGCTCCACTTCTTTAGTTCAGATGTATTATCTGTTTGGGTTCATTTCAGATGCATCCACCATCAGCAGTGAGCAATTCGTGGCTTGGTAACCCATCCTTGCTCACTGGCTTTCCTGTCCCCTTTGATTATCCTGATGTATCTAGGTTGATTTTACATTGTCTTGTTTTGTTTTCCTGAACTCACGATGGTGTGCTACATATTCTGGAACACCAAAATAGGAAGAGAGAATCCTAAGCTCTAACCCTACATCTGTAGCTATATAACTATGCAAACTTGAAAACATCATTTAAAACACCCTGTAGGGCCTCCCCTGGTGGTGCAGGCGGTTGAGCGCTGCACTGTGAAGCTGTCCGCAGCCTCTGCAGCGCGGGTTCTATCCCTGCCAGCATGTGAGGGTCCCACATGGTGTGGCAGACCTCTCCTGTCGCGGCCGCTGCTCCCCTCAGCAGTGTATTTCGTCAGTCTGCTGTTCTGTCTCTGGTGAATTCTCTCACCCTCCCACACATCTGGCCTGTACCCCGGTTCTTGTATAAATAAATAAATAAATCTTTAAAAAATAAAATAAAACACCCTGTAAAGGACTGTCACATCGTCTGGTACATAATAAAAGCTTTTTTTTTTTAGTTCGCTATTATTGTAATTCATCATTAATCATATAGTTCCTTGATGATTTGCGGAGTTCCATTTATGTCTACATGTTATGCATGTGAGGATATATATGTTTTTAGGTTTCTAAATTGCTAACAAAGGGCTTTTATCCTCACAAAGCATGGAGTATGGCATCCTTTTGGGATTTGTGAGTTTGCCAAAGCCCATCAGAATTGGGGTGGAGTAGGAAAAATGTGGGAGTTCTGGAACCAGCCCTGATCATTGGTGCGTTACATTTTATAGGAGTCCCAGTGATTTTTATAATATTTGCAGTCTGTAAAACTAGGAAAAACTGCCCCAAAAGAATTGTATTTTAACACTATCTACTCAAACATAGCTGCTTAAAACAGTTGGAATAAAGCTGAAAGCTAACTGTTCTCATGGTGACTGGAAGCAACTCCAGTAGACTTCTGTTAGTGCCAGTGCCACTGCTGAGTCAGAACCCAGCCAGTGGCTTTAAACATTGACTCGTGTTTTCTGGGGGCCTCCCGAGTCCAGGGCAGCTGCCATGACCACTGCTTCTACTGCCACTCTCCACTCTGTAGCCGGATGAAAGGACAAAACTGTCATGTTATTCTCTGGTTCAGGATGTCAATTTCCTTGATTTTTTAAAGTGATGAATTCCCATCTATTCTTCCCCATCACTGCTGAATTTACTTTGTGTAAATGTGATCTTGAACAGGGAACAGTGAAAGTCAAATATATCAGTGACCCCTCTGTTCAGTGAAATAACCTATACGGAAATCAATTTGCCAGACCCTGACACCCTCTGCTTTTCCTACTGACACCACCTTGACTTTTTGTCTCCTACACTGGTGTCTGCAACCTTGTCCATATTGTTAGTGCCGCTTAGTACAGGAAGCCAATGAGGTGGACAAGAAGGAACATTTGACAAGCATGTTTGACTTGTATCCAAAGGGAAAGCCGCTTCCACATCTGGTAAAGACCTGAGATTCTAGGTTGCCAGAGAAAAGAAACTATAAAGTTCTATATGTTTTGTCCTTTGAGGTTTTACTTCTTGGTTTCTGGCATTGTTTCATTGAAATGATGTTCTACTTCCTCTAAATAAATGTACTGCTATTTAGAGAAAAGGGACAATGCTGCACTCTAGTGTCACATCAAAAGTACTTGAAAATGATTTCTGCCCCCATCATCACTGCCATTTACAGGTTTTTGTGACGCCAGTCTTTCCAGTACAAATGTCAGCTTTTTAGGCTTATATTCAGCTGTCTAAATATTGAAAGTTAATGCAAACATTTTTAACGGACCTGTTTGAATTTCACAACACTCTTATATGGGCCATAAAAGTTCAAACTGAATTTTAAAGTGAATATTAACTGATATTATGCTATTAAACTAAAAATTTTTTAGAAGGAAAGCCATATTCACATTCTCCAAAGAGGAACATGGAAAAAAGTTTCTCCATTTGGAAAGATTTATACTTTCACAGAACAAGTGAAACTGTTCTGTGAAACTTTGAAACTGAGTGCTTTTAGCCTGTGTCATTTTAGAGCATTTTTAGGAGCAGAATCATGGTAAAATAGACGCAAAGTGTTATATTAGGAATAAGAAGAACTGGATTCTCAATAAGCTCACCTTGTGTGGTTTTGGAAGCTTATTTCATTCATCATCCTCAATTTTCTCATCTATAAAATGGGAATAATAATGCCTGACCTACATGTAGGAAGTTGCTACAACATCAGAAGGAGGTGATAGACTTTAAACTCTTTTAAAAGTTATGTAAATTCATTATCTAAATTATTATGTATATGTTTAAAATGATATACCATACATATATATACATACGGAAATACTATTTCTCTGAAGGCTTTTGACATTCAGCTCCCCATATTGCAAGATTTAACTCAACATAGAAGTATTCATAACTGCAGATAAAACAATTTTAAATTATTTCTAAGTGTTGTTATAATCAATTCTAGGTGATGTGAAGCTATTGATGTAATCATGGTTAAAAAATAAAAATGAATGAAAGAAGAATTTTAAATTTCTTTAATAAGCCACCTTCTTGACTTTTCTGCCTTGTCCCATTCTGTCTAATCACATATATATTTATTTCCTTTAATAGTTAATGGTATTTTGGGGTTTTTTTTATTATTCTTATTCTAAATCTTTCTATTAAACAAACTTGTATATTGCCCAAAGTTGTCATTTCTATACATTTGTCCCAGTATATATGTCCATGAGTCTGTCTTTATCTGTCTCAGTGACATGACTCTCCGCATGCCCAACCAGCAGGACTAGAATCTTCCCCCAGATACCCTGTGACCGGTGCAGGTACAACAAGCTGTATGCTCTACACAGGTGAGGTCTGTGACCTATAGGTTCTGTTGAGGCAGGGCAAGGAAACAAAACCCAGAGATAATGTGATATTTACCAGCACATCTTTCTGAACCCCGAAACTCTGTTCAGGAAAACACCCCTTCTGGGCCTTAATGCCAGTGAGTGCAGGCCAAGGAGATGATTAATGCAGGCCAGCATCATTTCTTACTGTAGTTAAAATAGTATCTTGAATACTGGTATTTGAATAATTATATATCCTGCCCACTAAACTATGATTTTTTTAGTTCAGAGTTAATTTTTTTAATCAGTCTGTGTGAAATACAAATTCTTGTTTCCTCTAACATCTCTTACCCAAATCTACTTACCAGCTATCCGTAAACTATAAATAATATCTATGTAATGTACAAGTTGAGCACTTGTACCTGACCACTATTATTATATCTGAAGTAACTTTAAGTCATGCAATAATAGGACTCAAGCAGTTGATGTTTTTAGCATGGTAGTGATGCCTTGCCTGTGTGTTTTGGATTAATAACATTTTTCTCTTCTAATAATAATGGGTAATGTAATGATGCTGATAAACACTGTGTCAGACTCTGTATTATGCACTTTATATAAATTATTGCAAGCCCTCAAAAACTGAACATTACTGTTACATAAAGACTGAGGCTCATAGAAGTTAAGTATTTGGTCTCATATACCAATTAGTGGCAAGTGGAAAACCCAGGTCTGCCTCTTCCAAAGCTCTTCTTCTTTTTTTATCAGTTTGTTCTCTCTACATTTCTGATCCCGGAATGATTTTCAGGAGAAGCAAAATATATTATTTTTATTTATTGTTTGCTCATCTTAGAATACCACAAAATAGTTATCTAGTATAAAAATATATAGAATAAATTATATATTAAACGAATCTATATAATATTAGTATATAATTTACCATTGGATTATAAAATTATGTTTGCATAGTGCATACCTTTTAACCGGTTTTTGTTTTGTTTTGTTTTGTTTTGTTTTGTTTTGGCCTGATTCTAATATATGTAGTTACCATTTGGGGTCTTTAACCAAAAATGGTCTTTAACCAAAAATGCAATCAAATTTATGTGTTAACAAATTGTGCTATATGAACATCATAAAAGTATGTAGATATGGGGAGTGTTTGAACAGAACATAGAAAGCACTCAACATAAATAAAACATATGTCCTTGGGGATCTCCTTTGAATATCTGGGTCCTGCTCTGTTAGGACTTTTTAAGATTTTTCCGTTTATACAATCTCTCTTACATGTAGAATCTACCACCAAGTAGTCTCTTATCTCTTCCCAGTGAATTTTACAATTCTCATATGAGATTATCCTTCACCCCATGATCAATATACTGCAGTAAGACAGAGAAATGAGAGTCCAGCTAGTGATAGAAGCAGGGGACTCCTGGGTCTCTGCCCCCTGTACCTGTTCCCTAGACTTTGCCTTACTCTAAAATTTGGCAGGGAAACAATTTCAGCATAGCAACTAATGCCGTGTTCACATGTGGTTCTTTTGTAGTGTGATTGGGCTTCCTGGAGAAGAGGACTGGCCTAGAGATGTTGCCCTTCCCAGACAGGCTTTTCATTCCAAATCTCCTCAACCGATTGAGAACTTTGTGGCAGATATTGATGAGCTAGGCAAAGACCTACTTCTGGTAAGTCAATGTGATGCACATTTGTGCTAAGGGAGAGATTCAAACTGGCCACACTGAGTGGACACAAACATCAGATCAGCGTCCCATGTCATGACCACACAGGACAGAGGCCACAATCTCACAATCTCTCTGTAGATTTTACTTTCACACATTTAACTAGTGACTTCACTGGATTGTCTTCGGTTCCTATAGAAAGAGAAAGTGTCTCATCCATGTGCCTTCAATCCACCATCCACTACCATTTGAATGCAACCTTAGAAGCCTTTCAATTCCTCTAGACATATGCTGCTCTAGAAGTGAATAAAGTGAGTCCTCACTTAATGTCATGGGTAGGTTCTTGGAAACTTTAAATTAAAAGGTGTGTAGGGGGCCTCTCTGGTGGCACAGGGCTTAAAGTCTCAGCATTATCAAGCTATCATCAGCCACTGTAGCCTGAGTTCAATCCTCAGCCAGGTTGATGACCTACATGGTGCAGCAGACCTCTCCTGTCTCGCCTGCTGTTCCCCTCAGCAGTGTATTTCAGTAGATCTGCCTGTTATGCTCCCTGCTCTGTATCTGGTGAATCCTCTGACCCCCCACACCCCTGGCTTACACCCCAGTTCTTGTATGCATAAATAAATGAAATAAATTTTTTTTAAAGTTTAAAAAAAAGGCATAAGCAAACCAGTTTTACAATAGTTAAGCATTAACAAACTTCTAAATGAAGATCCCAAAACTTCTTATATTAAATAATAATTTATATTCATTCGTTTCTAATCCACTTAGTTCAGGGCAGCAAGAACCCTGAGCTTATCCAGGCAGCTTGGGGCACAAGGCAGGAACCATCCCAGGACAGGATGCCCTTACTTCACAGGGTGCAGTGCCCAACACCCACACTCATTCAGACTAGGGCAATTTAGACCCGCCAGCAAACCTAACATGTGCATCGTTGGGGTATGGATGAAAGCCGAAGCACTAGAGAAAATACATGTAGACATGGGAGAATGTGTAAAGCACATACGGATGGTGGCTCCAGCTGGAAGTCAGGTTTTTTTTTTTTCCCTCATCAACAGCATAACAAAATAACAGTATTTCATATTACCCTTCCTTATTTACAGTTTCATGCTACTTAAACAACGTGCTGGTTAATGCGCCTTTTTAAAAATAGGTACATCTTTGGGAAGAGGTTTTTTCCAAAGCAACTATTTAGCTGTCCTCCTTCTAGTTTCCAGTGTATTTAATAAATATTGAGTGGGTCATATATGTGGAAAATAGGTACACTGAAATCAAGGAATTCCATACTCAATTTGAGACTCAAACTTATAATACTCAGCCCTGTACATAATTCCCTATACTTGAAGGACAGAACAGTAGGTCAAGGAATATACTCTTTGGCTACTCTTGACATCTGGAACCCAGTGAGTAATGAGTGTGTCCTTTACCTAATGCAGGAAAGTCCTAGACCCAGAGGAGCCAGTGCTCCCGTTCTGTCAGTGTATTCTGAATTTCAAATAGAGGCCTGAGAGTCTATAGGCTTTAGTAGAAATACTGTGCTTCAGTTCTGTGGGGACACAGCCTCTGATTGGAATGATTGCAGAGCCATGGATTTTCCAGTGAAAACCCTCACTCTGTTTTCAGCTGATGGTGCCTTATATTCTAATGCTAAGGCAAAACTTCCCTCCACTGCCTGTTGCAAATCGGGATAGTTATATTCCATCTACATTGTTTATTTCTAAGATACTGAGGACATTGGCCCACATCCTTTTAAATAAATGAATCAGAAGGGAAAATACTCACTTAGACAAAGGCTTACTATATATACACACTTGCTAACATTCTCACCACTTAGGAAACTTTGCCTTGGTTTCCAGTAACAGACATCTGTTTGTGCTACTTTAAGAAAAGGGGTTTGATGGACTGTTTCATCTGGCCTAGAAATGGAAAGCCATCTAGTGTGTAAGTGCTCTCTCTGTCCTCTGCATCACCTACTCTTAGCAACTCTGCTTTTCTCTGCCATGAATGCCGTTTCTCCACCTCATTGCTTCTTTTCAGTTGTACTGTCTGCTTTCCTTAACATTAACAGACCTTGACTATCATAACTTCAGCTATCTCAAGATCCTTTCCACTTTAAGTCCCATTGCTATTGTTTTTGCATTCTAAGTATTTCCAACATTAGATTCCTAAAAGGTGGACTCTGGCTGATCCCCCTCACCTTTTTGCCTATGATGTAGGCTAGCTCCTAGGACCTCTCAACTGTACTGGAGGGTATGGAGGTAATTTGTTATAAAATATGGCCCCTTTAGGCTTTCATTTTCAGCAGGAACTTTGAGTGCAATATTCCTCTTAGAAGATTCTAGACAGAAAATCACAGTGGTGAACAAATTTAGTGGCAAAGTGTCCCACTCTTTCAGCTACCAGAAGATGCAGAAACCTCTCAAAAATACCTCCTAACTCCAACATCAGGGTGTCAGCTAGAAGAACTTAAAACGTGAAGATAACAGACAATGCCACACACTCATTCATGGCCTTCCACAAGTATCGATGGCTTTCAAAGTCAGACCACACACCAGTGCTAGAGTGCAGAGTAGCAGGAGACTGGCAAAGAAAAAAGGGAACAAAAAAAACCTACCAGAGGGAAGGAAGAGGGTGGACAATGAGTGGAAGCAGAGACTAGAAAAAGCAAAGGAAAAGAATGAAGAAGAAGAGCCAGTGACATCAGGTCCAGGGGAAATAGCACATAGTATCCACAGGCATTCAAGGAATTGACAACCCACGACCTCAAAGCTCAGAACCCCTTTAAAGCTCTGTTTCATGCTAGGAGAGACACAAGCAGTAAAGCAGTAGATGGGCCATTTAATACAGGATGGGTAGCTGAGATCCCAGTAATACCTGTTGCCTCTGTTAAATTTATTGTCTAAGGAAGAAAAATCAGGTGTGTTTTGGAGAGTTGTTTTATTTAAGAAACTATTAACATTTAAAAGTTTAAAAATTTAGCACTTTTGAGTTATCCTTCATTTTTATATGAAAAATGGTTGACTTTATAAAATACCTCAGTTATCTATGCGTGAATAGATACATTGATATTTATAAACGCCCTTACATACATATATAACAAGTGTAGGGTGAGAACACAATTCAGGGAAGGAATTATTTTTAGCACCAAAACCTACACATCTTTACAAATTTAGTCCCAATCACCATGATTAATTTAGGATACTGAGTATTTATTAATATGAAGCTCTTACTGGAAAAGTTTTAGAGTTTCTGCTCTCCAACAGCTTTCAGTACCTGACGTACTTTTGGGGGTTTGAGAGGAGAGGAGGTGGTGATGGTATTTGTTCACTTTTGCTGTAAAACAACCCCAAAAAATCTCATTAGCATACAACCTTCACATTTATTTCATGCTCGTGTGTCTGAGGATTGGCAGAGAAGTGCTGTGAATCATCTGGGGCAGCTCTGCTTCAGCTTGTGTGACAGTACAAGTCTCCTTTATCTCATTCTGGGGCCCAGGCCAAGGGGGGGCGGGCTTCATCACCTGGGGGCATGTTTTTCTCATGCAGAACGTGCATCCTCCCAGGTGGGCAAGCAGAAACAAACCATGCCCGTGAAGGCCTGTGCATGGAAAGTGCACCACTTCAGTTCGCATCCCTCTGGCCTAAGCAAGCTCCATAGCCAAACCCAACTTTGTTCTTTTTTTTTTATTTTTTAAGATTTTTTTATTTATGCATACAAGAACTGGGGTACAGGCCAGAGGTGTGGGGGGTGAGAGGATTCACCAGAGACAGAGTGGGAAACAGAACAGGCAGATCGACTGAAGTACACTGCTGAGGGGAGCAGTGGGCGAGTCAGGAGAGGTCTGCTGCGCCATGTGGGTTGCTTCCTGGCTGGACATCAAACTCGTGTTGCAGTGGCCATGGACAGCCCCATACGTTGTATCTTAATCCCTTGTGCCACCAGGGAGGTTCAGAACCAACTTTGCTAGAAGAAGAATATACCTCCCATAGGGGGAGAGAAGGAAAAAAGGGAATATATACTGAAAATTGATCCACATTTTAGCCCTCCACTTAATTATCATTCCAAAAGCTCACTTTATAAGTTATTTGCAAGTAAATTAGATTATCTTGCAGAAACAATATTATCACACAAGATTTTTTAATTATCAAGCCAACCAAGTGCTTTACTGAAATAATGCAATGATAGAACTTTGCCACCTTGCCTAACAATACCTCTATAGGGCATAATGTCCTAAGACTTCCAACTTGAGATTCTCACAACCCTCACATTCACATGAGAATTTCTTCTCCTATCTACCCTCTTTCCAGTTGTAGATCCTGAATATAGCTGTGGGGATAGGTTTCCTTCCCAAATAATCCTCTGAGGATGTGTGTCTCTACCTTGAGCATATTCCCACAACTTTTTTTTTTACATCGTTCCATTGACCTAGGATTAAACTGACACTTCCTTTTCTAATGCCACTACTTAATTTTCCCATCTTGGAGTCTGGAAGAATAAACTCAGGCTCGAGAATTTTGCCCTGCTTTCCTGTCCTTTGGTGAGTCAGCCTTTTAATGATGAATGTTGGTCCTCTCTGGTGGCACAGGAATTAAAAGTCTCAGCCATATTAAGCTATCGCCAGCCACTGCAATGTGAGTTCGATCCTAGGCCAGAGAACTGACCCACGAGGTGCAGCACACTTCTCTGCTGCTCCCCTCAGCAGTGTATTTCTGTAGATCTGCATGTTCTACTCCCCACTCTGTCTCTGGTGAATCCTCGCACACCCTTCACTTCTGGCTTACACCCCAGTTCATGCACGCATAAATAAAAATAAACCTTTAAAAAATAATTAAAGATGAATGTTTATCAATATTGGTAACAGGGCCTCCCTGGTGGCGCAGCGGTTGAGTGCCGGGTTGTGAAGCTGCCCGCAGCCTCTGCAGCGCCGGTTCGATCCCCAGCTGCTCCCCGGCCACCAGAGGAGGGTCCCACATGGCGCGCAGACCTCTCCTGCTGCCCGCTGCTCCCCTCAGCAGTGTACTTCGGTCCTTCTGCTTGCTCTGCTCCCCGCTCTGGCTCTGGTGAATTCTCTCACCCTCCCGCGCTTCTGAGTGTACCCAGTGCTTGTATAAATAAATAAATAAATCTTAAAAAAAATATATATATATATAATATTGGCAACAGTAGACCCATTTAACAAACACGCTTCTTCCTCTACTGTCCCTTAGTTCTTTGATTTGTAGACGTCACTACAGAGCCACTAGCATGGTGGACACATAAGAATTCTTACGTGGCCTTACAGGTGGCCTGAAATTATATGTTGAATTTTCTGTTTATGCATGTTTTTCTAGGTCAGTAATGTTCAACAGAGTATCAGAGCAGTCTATGATCCAATCACAATCTGGCTGGGACTACAAGCTCTTTAAAGGCAGAAATCCAGATTAAATCCAGATTAACTTTTGATTACAGCAAGGACTAAAATTCAAGGGCATTTTAAAATATCTGACTCACTTTAGTGGACTCTGCATCACAAAAATGATAAGATTGGAGAACTTTATAAATCAGTTAATCTGCAATTCGTGAGCTCTTTGGGGCAGTGGGTGGGTCTTACTCATTTTGTTTGTTACTTATATTGTTAATTAGTGCTTTGGGGGTGTGGGAGAAAGAGAGGAGGAGGAGGATCTGAAAAAAGGATTACCTGGTGTTGGAGTGGAATAGAACTGAAGTTAGGGAAACACTGTAATTAACTATGTGTCAAAAATTTGGGAATGGAGATTGCTGCCCCAAAAGTTGATCTTTCCTCTTGGACCTACCTCAGTAGCCCCTTCAGACTGACCAAACCACTCATCTCCAACCCCGAGCATTAAACCTAATGGACCCATAGGTCTGCCATTAACCCATAGGCACCTTGATAGGAATTAGAAGGAAGACATCCCTTCTTGTGGATGGTGTAGTCCTGCCGCAGAGTGCATGGTTTACTAGCTTGAATTATTAGATTTTAACCCCCACTTGTCCTCCTCCACAGGGTACCCTTGTTTAGTAATTCCCTTTACACCTGAGCAAGACCACCTCTTTCCATTTCTGCTTATTGACAAGCCTTGGGACGGGATGAAAAAAAAAGTTGGAGTGAAGATGCCAACTAAAGTTTCCTAGCATTGGAAAAAAATCACTACCTAAATAAAGTTGTATGCATGTTTCAAAAATATCTTTTAAAGGGCCTGGGTGGTTTGGAAAGAAATCCTCGGTAGCAGCAGTCCAAGAAACCCAAAAGTTACTGCCTTTTCCTATATGTTTCCATTAGAAACATATAGCGGATGAAAAAAAAAAGGAAGAAACACAGAACACATAGAAGATGAGTACTGTGTAACTCAACATTATTCAAATGGGTGTACAGTTTTATATCTATCGGTATTTTTTCTTCATGACAGAAATGCTTGACATTTAATCCAGCCAAAAGAATATCTGCCTACGGTGCCCTGTCTCACCCATACTTCCATGACCTGGAGAGGTTCAAGGAAAACCTGGATTCCCATCTGCCACCCAGCCAGAACAGCTCGGAAATGAATACAGCCTGAAGTCCCAGCCACTGCCTTGAGCTGATCATCCAGAGAACCCCCTTGGTGGCTGTTGGGTCCCCCTGAGTAAGCCCTTCAGAGCTGTTGTGGATCACTGGCTGGAAACCTCTAGCTGCCGTCTTCTGGATGGGCTCTGCTTCTCCAAGGAAACCGCCTAGTTTACTCTTTTGAAATCAATGCAAGAGTGATTGCAGCTTTATGTTCATTCGTTTGTTTGTCTATTTGTTTGTTTATTTGTTTGTTTCAAGAACCTGGAAAAATTCCAGAAGAAGAGAAGCTGCTGACCAATTGTGCTGCCATTTCATTTTTCTAACCTTGAATGCTGCCAGTGTGGAGTGAGCAATCCAGGCACAGCTGAGTTGTGATGTAATCTTAATCTCTCTGCAGCTGCCGGAGTCTGATTTGGTACTTTTGAGTGTGTGTGTGTATATGTGTGTGTGTGAATCTTGGTATCTTAAAGTGTTACTTTCTGTAAACAACAAGAATAATTCAATTGTAAAGACTCAAAGTGACCGATAAATAACAGGCATCTGTTGACTGAAAGTGATTCAGCAGAGTGAGCTTCTCAAATTAGAAAGTTGAGCCTATGTCCTCAGCATTTCTTTCCTGGCCAAAAGCATTAAATTTATTAGCAGTAAAAGGTTCACTTTCTAGATGAAGTTTTTACACACAGCAAAGAAAAAAATGATTCTAGTATCTTTTCAGAGACCTGTTTTTTAAAAGCACATATTCTATTTACTCTTCAAAAGCTGAATTTACTCATTGTTCAGTCAGTTTTATCCTGTATAATACGCTTTATTGTTCCCTTTGAAAAATACCCTATAAGCTTTTTATTAGTTGCTATAGATTTAGAGCATATACCTCAAATAGGCAAAAGTCATCTAAAACAATAGAGAAAACCTTTATTTCTTGGTTTGAGATTTATCTCCTCTTTGTTTTTTGTTGTTTTGTTTTTGATTTTAGGAATTTGTCAGAAACTGTTTCCTGCTTTGGTTTGGAGAGTAGTTGTCTCTGACTAGAGCCCGGAATGTCATTTATGTTTTCCCCACCTATTACACTGTACTTTTTCTACCATGCACTGCCTTGTTTGCAAAGTATCCATCATATCTCTCCCCCAGCGCCTCTAACATGTATTGCTACCATTACCATTACATAACTAATAACAGATTGCTTAAGCTGCTCCCATGTACCTTCTGCTTTCTGTCCTTCAATGAACCCTTCATAGATAGATTCAGATTATGGTTTACGGCTCCAATTCCGAAGTCCCAGCAGGTTCCTGTTGTTCTCTGTCTAATGTGATCTTCCTACCTGGCATTCACTGTTGTTGCCTAGGCAGTGAGTAGAATATTGGTTCTTCTCTATCACCAGCACATAGATTGCTTTAAACTGTTACGTAGTATTTTACATTTTTATAGAATATCTTGTCAGTATAGTATCTGAGGAAATGTCTTTCACTGTTTTTTAGAAATACATATTTGCTCTGTAAATGATGTCTTCCCCATCTGCCAGGCTGTGCTTGTTCCTAGTGCCTTGTGCACACCACTGCTCCCTGCAGAGCCTCCCTGGCTGGGGCATTGTGAACAGCTTTATTTTTTCTTCTGCATTTTCTCTATAGTACTTGGTATTCCATGCCATCTCTGCCTTATATGTAGTTAGTGCTCAGTGAGCTCTAGTAACCAAAAGACATTGTGTATCTTTTGGAAGATTTTTGTTACCTTGATTTTCTGGCTCATGTTTTATGTGCATGTAACAGAACATTTTTAGAATGAGGATTTTCAAAGAATGGACAATACTTCGCTCAGTAGAAGATGTTCCAGGTGACGTTTATAATTATACATTTGTCAAGCCTTACTGAATTCTTTACAGTTTAATATTTGTATTCAACTATCTTAACTAGAGAAAAACTTAGCAGACTTTTCTCCTTGAGAGCTTTTTAGGTCAGGAACCATTCTTTTCTAAAGGAGTGTATCACTTAACATTGTTCTAATTCAATAACTTGAAGAGCAGGAAAATTTTTCTATAGCAAGATATGAATGAGAAGATGGGCCATAAGAATATGTTTTTCTTTTTATCCTTGTGATCATGTTGATTATGTTTTGTCATCACTGCAAATGCTTGAGATATAATGAATCCTGAGCATTCAGTGCAAAGTGGATTGCAGTCTCTGCAAGTGAGCTCTGCCTTCCCTTTGGGAGTCAGAATTACACAGACCTTTTTGCTGGGGCCTAGAAATTGAATTTCACACTCAACTGCACTGATTTATCATGAGCTTTTTACCTAGTACCCATGGTTATAGTGAACATAACTTGAGTTTTTATTTTTGCAAAAGCTTTTCATAAGTTCATTCAAGAAAATGTAGCTGTTCTAACTGGAATTTTTCAGCATTCTGTAGAATTTTAAACAAGTAGAGAGCTCAACTTTTACTTCTAACCTATGCCTTCGGTTCATTTCTCAGTAGTGCTTATAAAGAAAACTTAAAACACAAACATCATGACAATAAATACTTGGCAAATTATGCTCTGAGAAACAGAATGCGGGCTGCTCAGCCTCTCTGAACTTCACCACACCAGCAATTCTGTCGGTGTGGTTGTTGCACTTGATTATTATCTCGTTTTTTGTCTTTTACATCACCACTTGTGAAATCCAAACACCCGTACCACTGGGGCACTTTGAAGCATATAGAATACAAACTTACTGAGAACAGCTTATTCTTCTGTGACATGTGGCCCTTGCCTCTTTGCCAAAGGCCAGGTGATTGTTGCTGAAAAGGGCATACTGCCTGAGGTCATACTGAGGCAGCTTACAGCAGTAGAAATAAAGCAACAGATTTGAATTCACATTTGAATTTCTTACTAGAGCAAGAATGTGCCGATAGTGTCTATATGATTCTACATTCTGGTGGCCCAAGCATTATGGGAAGTGTGGGCAAGGGTGGCGTTGTAACAACCTGTATTTATTTAAAATGAGTGAAAGAAAAACCTAACCATGTAAGCGTCATACAATATCAGAGGACTTAAGGTAATACAGACCTAACCTAGCCTTTAAAATACAATTCCCTGGTGCTTGTGGCAAACCAATGCCTTGTAGCCTCCCATCTTGTCTCTCCTTTGAAGTAGTGAAAATTAAGGAGCAAAGAACCTGCTTGGGAAGAAAACTTAGGACCATTTCAGCCCCCTGTATTCTCATGATTTTCTCTCAGGAACACAAGCTGTGAATGGCATGCTTTTCATTTAGCCCCAGGTGACCTACTTAAAATAGTTCAAAATATTCACCTAAGAATAGAATCTCAACCTTTTAGTTTTAAGTAAGAATGAAAAGTACAAGAGTGCAGAGGATATTATGTCTCAAAGGAATATTATGTCTATTTTTCCTTTCAATAGAGAATTTTCTAGTTTGACTCCAGAATGTGGTGCTATCCATCTTGATGGGAAAAGGTTTAAATAGTACTAAACATTTTGAACCATAAATTATGCATTTAAATTGAGTTTTTAACTAACTAAAGCTCTTGCTTTGAAAAGTGTTTTCAAAGTCAGGTTTTTTAGTTCTCATTCTATTATGGAAATTAAATCATGTAAGCTTCCTAATATAAACATTAAAATTCTTGAAAGAACTCCTTTTTAAGTGACAACTTCACTTTTTTTATAATAAACACGAGTGTCTCATATTTTCCAAAATGCAGACTTTAGTTGCATAGTTGAGTATAGCAAAGAATAATGTTAAAAGTTAATAAGCCACCATAATGATTGATTAATACAGAAACTATAGAATACTTAACTTGAAAAAAATGTTAAAATATAAATGCTTAGATATTGATAGAATTCAAAAAAATACATGTTTTATATGTGACACCTAAAAATGTCTTTATTTAATAAAAATGAAGATGTTACAAAATTTTTCAGTCTTTAAATTTTATTCTTAATAACAGTACACAATGAATAAAGGAAATTCTGGAGAAAATGAAGGTATCCAAAGAGGATATTTTTGAAGTTATATATATTTTGAAGGAAGTTTGTTTTGTTAGCAAATATATCAAAAGCATTATTAAAGTTGTCTGGCAACTATGAACTTTATACCATCAAAAACAAATTTTACCGAAAAACGCTTGCAAGAAAAAACAGTTAATATTTTTAAGGGTTGAGCTGAGCAAACCAAAAAAATCTGTATTCCTTTCCTCATTTCATGGAGAGAAGCAGCCACATGAAGCTAAACTTGTTATGCAAGCCTAAGAATGTTCATTGCAAAAACAAAAATAAAATTTTAAAAAGGCATTTGTTCCCTGTACCACCAGAAATTTTGAAAATCTGTGAAACCCAAACCATTTCTCATGTGCATTTAATACATTCAGGCATATGATTAGGAAGGGTAGTTACAGAATGGAAAAATTTCTTGAGGTTACCGAAAACCTGTCAAGCAGTGTAAGTCCTCAGATAATTAGTAATGTATTTTCCTCCAAAGCATAAGAAAATAACATTTTTATTTCTTATCAATGCAACTTTCAACCTGTTTTTATTACATACCTATATCTCAAGCATTTCTAACTTGTACGTTTTTTAAAAATAAACCAAAAATATTTCTTTGGCCTTTTCTTCTTCTGATCTTTGTAAAAACAGAAATGTAGAAAGAGAAGGGGTTTGATTTTTAAATGTTTTTCCTCTTTCAGTTGTGTGTTTTTAACATGAATCTGTTTCTAAAAATATTTCCTATTTCTTAGCATTCCCAGGGAGTTAATTTAGATAAATGAATGGACTTCCATCAACATATTTATGTGTCCCTAATACTGACACTATGGCCTTCAAGAAGAAAAAAAGAACCACCTGAAAATAAATACAGGTTTTTCGAGTATTTAAATACTATTACAACAATTTGAAATTAATATGGTAAGGAAAGGGAATTTTTCTTGCAAATGTTTAAAATTTAACCACCCTAAGAGATGGGCCTTCTTGTTTTATTCCAGTGTGTTCCACAAGGTGGCACTTTTTTTGGGGGGGAGGAGAGGAGGGGAAGGGAAATCTGAGCAAGGCTGAAGAGGTACTTCTAAACACTTCATTCTAATGATTTTTCTGCACATGTTTAGTTTTTGCCTGGCACTTGTTTTTCAAAATGAGTAATAGTTTTTCATAATACTCTGTGACTTAAGTATTTTAGTTGTTAGCTAGGTTATGAAAGATTGCAAGTGAATAGTTCTTCAGGATGGATAATAAACCCATACTCATTTCAGTACATAAAGAAAGCCTAGTGATTCATTCACTCAGGAAACATTTTTTGAGGTACCTCATTGCCTCACTCTTTTAGGTGCTGACTTTACAAATATCAGCAGGCTTAGCACTATGAAGGCAACTGTCATTTGTACAGGATAGTCTGTCAGCTGCTTTCAAATTCCCTGCCATGGTGGCCTTTAAATATACCTAAGTTAAAAATCAGATGAACAAAATAACATCAATAATTAAGTAGACAAAACTGTTCTAAATAGAACAGCTAGCTGAAGCAGCTTTAAAATATCAAAAGACCTGATAATTTTTACATTTTTATAATCAAGTATAAATTCACAAGAAATTCTAATGTAAAAAAATATAGTAACAGGAATGTATCTATGTAAGTCATTGCTTCAGTTTTGAAGTGTTTTGGCTACTTCCTACACACACACACACACACACACACACACACACACACAGTCATGTTTCAGTGTAATGACCCGCTAGCTCCAGGATGCTTTTAGAATTTTAAAAGCCACGCTCCTCAATAATATCACTGAAATTTAGGAGGAAAGAAAAGTGTTTTTCGGAGTTTTCCTTAGCGCAGCCTGGCAGAAGGCAGTTTATTCGTTCTAAGTGGCACAAATTCAATAGTGCCTGCTTCACTTTCCCTCCAGTGGGAGCCGTGGCCAGTGTCACCTATTCCTACTGAACCGAAATGCCGCACAAACTTGGGGCTGTCCAAAAGCTCCCTGAGAAATCGTCAGCCTCATCCCTCTGCTTAAAAGCCCTCTCTACGTAAGCCCCTAAGTGGAAGGCCGAACTCGAACCTGGGCCAGTCTGAACTCTGCCTGTGTTCCAAACTCAGCTCCCACCCTCCGGGGGCGCCGCCCGGCACCCCGCCCCTTGGCAGGCGAGTGGCAGCGGGCGGGGCTGTCCGGGACCCGCCGCCCCTCCCCGGTGAGCGCCCGCAAGTGCAGACCCGGCGGGATACTGTCCGAGGTCCGTGTGCCCTGCTGCTGTCTCAGAGGCATCTGCTGTGCAGTCTTAGGAAGCGATATGTCCTTAGAAGCAAACGGATGTCATCTGTGCATAAAAAAGTACAACACATTATTTCTTCGAAAGTTCGGGTATAAGAGATGCTGCTCGTTAAGCTGTCTACCGGGCATCTCTCAAGCTCTAAGCTCAGCTTTTTTTTTTTTTTTTTTTAAAAGAAGATGTATAATTACAGCAAAGATTTTTTATTTTTTTATTTTCTATCATTCTACATATATGATGGCAAAAGGTTATGCCTGGAAAAGTTTTGTTCTGAAATTTTGTTTATTTTCTGCTTCGTCCTCAGTTGGCAAAAGCTCCTAATTCTTTACTTTCCCATTTCTTCTTTCTCTTTTTTCCTTCGTTAAGTAAGTAAGGTTTTGTTAGCAAGTTTTCTCACGAAGTAGGGGGTTTTCCTGTTTAGAGGAAACTTTTGTGGGAGTAGTTTAGGAGTAGTTTAGATTTTCATAAAGGGGGCTCATAACTGTTCATATTGCTACCAGGAATTACACCCATAATGCTAATAAGCAAACATAGAGCCTCAGTTATTTAATTTCCAATTCTCTATGGTTTCTAGCCAAATTATGTTGATGTGCTTAGGTGTGATCCTGAAAATACCTTTTTACCCTTACTTGAAAGTTCCTAATCTTGTTTTATGAAATGCAATAATATGTATTTGCTAAAAATATTCCTATGATCACCAGCAACTCTGAAATTCACCTTGAAGCCTTTGAATAATGAAAACAGATCCCAGCAATAAGGCATTTCTTAAGCCCCCTAAGTACATTATGTTCTCATTGGGTCCTATTTTTGCAACAATGTATGCATTAATGTTATAGTTTCTCTCTGTGTGTTCATTTATTGTCCTATGACTGGTAATATATTAGCATATGGTCTGAGTCACTCATAGAATCAGCACTTAACAACGTGGGGAATTTCTATTTCAAGTTCTACATTTGCATAAATTATTTCTATTCATGTATGTTATTTATTTCCGAACCACACTAGTTCTGTAAAAGTATAAGGAAGACAGACCACATTAGGACTTGCATCTTAATGTCCGTTAGTCTGGTGTTGATGAATTTTAAAAAAAGTAATTAGACTAAGTCCCCAAATAAGCTGCATGCATTTAACATGATTATACATAGTTACACTATAGATGTAGTGTTTTTGTGTGTAGGTGTTTTATCAATATATAAAGGAATTAAAGGACTTTGTTAATTGCTCTTTTGTCAAATAGTCATATAGTATAGTGTGAAGATACAGCAAAAACAAAAAATACAGGTAGAAAAGCAGATGCTGCCTGAAGTTGAACTCTGCTAGATGACCATTGGGGTACATGCCGAACAGAGATGGGCACCTGGGTAGTGTCCCCTGTTGTCTGGCCTTGAGAAGACACTTCCCCCATGAGCTAGTGTCCCGGTAGGTGCAGTAGTGGGAACATGTAGTATTGTCAGGAGAGCAATGTGAGAGTTTTCTGTAGAACCGGAACTGTCAGCTTGTGCCTTGAGGCTTCCAGTTGGCAAAGTCAGATGGAGAATTCCAAGTTTCTGTACTTCAAGCAGTTGATTTTGTACAGAAGCAATCCAGTCTAAAAGTGAAAATCAGGATTGTGTGTACAGTGGTCGACAGTGGGATTTTAACTTTCAATAATCCCAGCACCTCCAAAACTTGTTGCACTTCTGGTTTTTTAGGTTTTGATCTGAAGGTTAGATGGCAAGTGTTTGGAACAGAAGAGCAGTATGTGTTGAGAAAAGCACAATATCAGTTCCAGTAGAGAGCAGATTAGAACTAAAGGGTTTCATAGGTTTATCATTTCTTAGATGTGTAAAAGCATGTTTTCACTGTAAATTGTGTTAGTATTTCTGCATCCGATAGGGCCTAGTTAAAACTTTCTAATAGGTTTCAGCAAGGCTATCGTTCCTAGTATGCTTTTTTATTTTATTTTATTGTTTTACATATAATAGAAAATATTTTAAAAGTAGAAAAAATCTTAGTTTGGACATTTGACTGGTTGATTTCTGCATTTGAAATCACAGTTCTGCAGATGTAGAGATTGTGCATGTCAGATACTTATGTAGGCTGGGTGAACAGCCCGAAATCACCAGGACTGCCCCATCCCCTGCCTCCCTTCCTCTCTCCTGCTTACGTTCTCCCTGCCCCCATCCTGGCCTGTCCACGAGGTGCTCTCCATCCTCTGCTGCTCTTTGGGTGTCAGGGACATGATACTTTAGACATCAGGATGTGCCTGCTCAGGCTTGGCCACCACCCTTACTTGACCTTCAGCTGACTGGGCTCAGTCATAAAGAGAAGGTCCACGGTGCTGGGCACAGTGTGCTCACAACACCAATCACGAATGCCTTCTAGCATCTTTGTATGTATCTTGATTTTTAAACCAAGTCATTCTATAGAGCATTCAGTTTTGGCTGTGGTACAAAAAGACTAACTAACCAAGAATATAAAACCACATTCCAGATAACTGTTTTCTGTCCATCTACAGGCTATCCTTTTACTGTATTTCTTCATACTTGAAACTCATTCTGTAGTTTTAATATCAGGGTACACACTTATAAGGGTGCATGTTCCTTAAAGGTGCAAAATTACTCTCATTCGGTTTGCTCATATGGCTACAGAGAGCTCTGGTTTTGGTGCTTTGGATTTAGCAGGTCTAAGAAGTAGTGTGGAAATTCCTGGCCTGGAACAGTCTTGCAACAATGTTAGCAGATGGCTGGTGTTAGATACTTGCTTCTGCTCTTTTCTCTGTACACAAGATTGAGAGTTACCCCACTGGCCCATGAGATTTACCTGGGCATCTTTTCTCATGCTCTCCCCAAGTGTGGGTGCAGTGCAACTCTCCAAAAGCAGGGACCTTATACATATAGAGATTTAGCCCTCAAAAAAAAAAAATCAGCATTAGTCAAATGTTGAATGGGAAGGGCTGATCCACTCTAGTAGCCACCCAACCCTCATTTCCATAGGGAAAGCCCTCTTGAAGCAAACTTTAAAAAGAAAGAAGGGAAAAAAGAAATCAAGCTTATCTGTAAAGTTACCCTCTTCATAGCACCCTGAGTTAAATGATCTCGCATCCCACCCTTTTGGTAGATGAAAAAACAGGTCAGTTTTTCTAGATTCTTCCACCTGAAGAAGACAATGGAAAAGTAGTAGGTGTTTGTGTCATGTAATATGTAATCCAAGGACCACCAAGCTTGCATTAAATACCCCATGAGTAGAAACCTTTTTTGGAAAATAGCTCAAGTCAGGGATGCTTTATGATCTAGGGTTTCTGAGGTCGGAGGTAGCCATTCTAGCATGTGCCTTATTCTAAGACTGTTTGGAGAGGTAAAATTGCTGATGGTGACTCTGTTGCAATGGCAAAGGTAAGGTGTCAGAAAATTCAGAGGGTTACAGATCAATAATCCTTTGGAAACTGGATGTCTTACTGGGTGCTAGAAAGCAAATTTAGGTATTTATTGTCAGATTATACAATTCATTGTTTTTCTAAGAATTGGTGTTAAAATATCAATGTCCAGTTCATTGTTTTCATTTATGCACAAGCAAAATTGAAGAAAAAAAAAAGAAAATGGTTTGTATATTTGTCATACCTTTTGTATTTCTTAAAATAAAAATATTGGTAGCAAATAAAAGTAATAAAAGCAGCAATTTTAAACTGCTTCCTTGGAGGTGAATTACTATCCTGTCTTTTTCTTTTTACTTTAATATGAAATGAATATAATTGCAGTTAGTAATGTATAATTAAGTAGCAAGTTTTAGCAAAATATATTTTACACTTTTGCTTTAAAGATCCTTTTCAGATTTCAAATGTTTAAAAAAAGACTAAATGGCTCATTGAGCTGGAGCAACAAATACTTAGTAAGTTCTCATTCACAATACTAACCAGTGACTGCACCAAGATGGGCCTTCCTTTCTGAAGCTTATAGACTGAGACTGGAAAAGTTTTATGCAAACAATTGCTAGTAAACTGGAGATGAGCAACGGTGCTCATCAGATACTGCCTGAATATATTCAAAAACAAAAGTCAGTGTTTGCCTGTCATACAAGGCAAACGAAAGCAATCAGGAAAAGTCAGAAAGGTTGGTGAGGCTTCTCCTGAGACCTTGGCTTTCAAATATTTGGATCATTGCCTTAAAAAAGAAATGAAATCTAACAGCATGATACACATGGTCACACTTACACTAATTTTGGAAATTTACTTTTGAGAAAATGATGTCATGTGCCCCACAAATGTTCTTTTCGATTTTACTTTATACACCCATATATTTTTTTCTCCACTCTTTGAAAATACTGCTAGAAAATCCACTAAATTGATTTTACAGCCTCACTAATAGGCCATGACTTAATGTTCAAAAAAAATTAGAAAGGGCGGGGGTGTGTGTAGGTGACGAGTCAGGAGGTGAAGTCATGAAGGCATTTGAAACCACTGAAGGATTTTAAAGAAAAAGATTATTTATATGAATGTTTGCCAGATGCAGAGTAGACAGAGCAGCTACTGAGATATTGTACCATAACCAAAAGATGACCATAGTTATTGTCTAATCCATTTATCCCCCACTGTGTGCACAATAGCAAGTGTTTTTAAATAATCCTTTGGAATACCCTGGAAGCTCTCATTAAGACTTCCTTAATTTATTTTAAATAAGGCCCTATGTTGCACCTAAATTTTAAAAGTCTGGGCCTCCCTGGTAGCCTAGGAATTAAGTCTCAAGCACTGTCACCCCTAAGGCCTGAGTTTGATCCCCATCCAGGGAACTAACTCACATGGCACAGCAGACCTCTCCTGTCCCCTCAGCAGTGTATTTCAGTCAATCCACCTGTTCTGCTCCCCACTCTGTCTCTGGTCAATCGTCTCACACCTCTGGCCTACACCCCAGTTCTTCTATGCATAAATAAAAAAAAAATCTATAAAAAAAAAATAGGGCCTCCCCGGTGATGCAACGGGTTGAGCGTAGCGCTGTGAAGCTGTCCCAGCCTCTGCAGTGCGGGTTCGATACCGGCCTGCCGTGGAGATAACCACATGGTGCGGCAGACCTCTTCTGTCTCTGGTGAATTTTCTCACCCTCGCCTCTGGCCTGTACCCCAGTTTGTTCATTAAAAAAAAATCTTTTTAAAAAATAAATTTTAAAAATCTACATGAATAGAAAGTCAAGAATTCGATCTTTACTAAGAAATGGAAAGTTTGCAGTTCATTAAGAGGTGAGTCATACCATAGATCTGAAGCATACAGCCGGGCAGGGAGGGGGGAAGGCCAAAACAGAGGGAAGAACGCAAGGGAATATGATGATAGTTCACCGGTGATAAGATGATGGGAGAACTGTGGGGTCTACATCTAAGGGGAGAAACCAATTACTGTACAAAAATGAATGACAATATAAGGGGGGTAAAAAGTGAGTGATAGCGATACATGATTCCTCAAGTCATGGACATCTACAGCCAAGTTTGTACCATTTCTTCAAAGTATTGTACCAAAGGATGCTTCAGTTAACTCTGCTACACTTAGAACATCATTCCGTTAAGAGCCCATTAGATATTTGCCACTGATTTTGCCCTTTGGAATATCAGTTCAGTTTACACTTCCCTTCTGCCTAGGCAAGAACATGATGGGGAGGACCCCAGGAGGGTGTATTTGTTCTGCAAACACCATCTTCCTCCACATAGCAGACGGAGCAAGTGGAGTATCCCATGGGATACGAGATGAAGAGACTCAGTCTCTCAAATGTCTGAAAGTGCTACCTATAAATTTAGATCTGTAGGTGGCCATGTTTCTCCTTGCATGCACAGAGGATCCTTGGTAAGCTGAACGTGGATAGAGAAGGAAATGCAGAGACGGAATTCCTGTTCCCTGGGCTTTGAAACTCCTCATAGCCTTACAATAAAGTTAGCCTCCAGCTGTTTCTTTTTTCTTTTAACTTACGGAGTGCAAGTGAATATCTACTAGTTGCAGCAAAGTTCTGATCTCTAAGAGGAGGGGAAGCAGAGGATGAGGAAGTACTTTGTTTTATTGTTCCCTCTGTTTAGAATGTCCTGCTACAGCTGTTCTGTGAGAAGTCTGCTTACCTTTATCATCCACCTATAATGCCACTTCTCAATCCTCCTTCTCACCCCCTGAAAAGCAGTGTGATGGTCTAAGTAAACCATATGCTTTCAAGTTTGTCACGCCTGAATTTAAATTCCTAGCTTCTCCACATCCTTGCTATGGGAACTGGAGAAAATTACTTTGCTTCTCTTAATCTTAGTTTTTCTCATCTGAAAAGTGGAGCATAATCCTTGGTTATGCCTAGAGCATTTGGGAAATGATGTAGGTTTATACCTAAAAGGAAAGTGAGTGTGTTTATTAGCAAATCGCGTATATAGAGGATATGAAAAGCATATCTTTATTCTTGTTAAGTCACTGTAAGTTAGACCCTGAGATGGCCAGGACTGATCCAGTTTTTCTGAAGTCTACCCAGATGAGCTCCCAACAGCTTTGATCTTCTTCATTATCTCCATTTCTCTTGCCCACCTTGGGATCCATACTCCATCCAGAGGCAGACATCTAAGGAAACAGACACCTTTCTGTTGACTCATAGTATTGGTACATTTTTTAAACCTCTGTACTGTGTATAATCAGCCAAAGAAAGTAAAAGGCAAAAAGGAACTAAAAGGAAGAAAGCTATAGTCTCCCATAAGTAATGGAAATAATATCTGTAATTTTCCAAGAAATAACTCCTGGAATATGAAAAACACTATAAATGAATCACTGAAAAAAGAACCTGAGTATTCACAGTTCTCCTCTTCCTTGTATAATTACAGAGAAGTCTGTGTTTGACTGGAGCGTACCTAAATTCAATCAGGGGTAATGAAGGACAAGAAGAAAAGAAAGGCTGGAAGCTCCAATGTACAGTAAAATGCAAAATGAGGATGAATATTTAGTGAGTAGAACCACCAATGACTGCATTTAAGAGTATTTGGGAAAGTTTTGAGAGGGAGAGAAAAAAAGAAGAGTTGAGAGCATCTGTTGTGCAATGCAGTATAAGAAAAAGACAGAAATTGGGAAATAATTTTTTCTTTTTTTAAAGATTTATTTATTTATGCATACAAGAACTGGGGTACAGGCCAGAGGTGTGGGGGGTGAGAGGATTCACCAGAGATAGAGTGGGGAACAGAATAAGCGGACTGACTGAAATAACTGCTGAGGGGAGCAGGGACGAGTCAGGAGAGGTCCAAGCGCGCTATGTGGGTATCTCCCTGGCGGGGGATGGAACTCATGCTGCAGTGGCTGCGAATAACTTCGTAGGTTGTGTCTTAACCCCCTGCACCACCAGGGGGGGGGCCTGGGAAAGATAATTTTAAGGAGTTTTCTTGTATGTAACAAGTGTAAGTCATTTTGCTATTTTCCAAGAGTTCCAACAGAATCCAAATTGATTTTCAATTACTTTCTAATGACATTTACTGAGATGAACCCAGGGGGACCTAGCTTAATTCAGATCCATACATACTTATTAAGTATAATGACTCCATCTCTGGAATCCAGACCACTTTCCTTGAAGTTTTAGTACTGTACTGATAATATTATCGCATAACAGAGTAAAGTTGGACTTGAATATACTTATTTTCCCTATCAGGATATAAATTAGACCTTTAAGGGTAGAGAATATCTTAATCGACTTTGTGTTCTCTACAGATTCAGCTTCCAGACACCCAGCACAATATAGCTGTTCAAAATTAGTGTGAAATGAATGCACAGATGCTGGATGAATGGAATGGGACTTAAAGGACAATTTCATTAGCAACATCTCTAACAGCATTGCCTTCTCTCCCCCTACCTGATGGACTCTGTGAAGGACCACTTCCGTCCTGTTCTATGTAAACACATATATTGGAATAAAACTTGTACACCCTCGAATGACTATCTCAGCGTGCAGAAATAGAAGAGAGCAAAACAATCCAAGGCCGAATGGAAGCGAGTTAGCTGTTGCACAGCTAACTAAGGGTGCTGCACAGAAGTGCATCGCTCCTCGCCCTCCAGCGAATGGTAAAAAACAGGTGTGATCCCAGCAACGTTTGGAAACCGCCTGCGCTTGCCCGACCCGCCTCTCCTCCTCGACGGTAGGTGGCGCTGTGGCCCAGCGCGGCCCGACGGTACTGGCGGCGCCGCTCTTTGGGCGGGGTGGGGAGTCGGCCACAGGACCTCCGGCGGGCCCGCGGGCCGCCTCGCTGGCCTGCTCTCCCTCCGCCTCGGACCGCGCTCAGGCCGGCGCCATGGGGAAGCGGGACAATCGGGTGGTAAGTATCCGGCGGGGAGAACAATGAGGCGACGCGGGGCCCGGTGGAAGCAGAGCGGGGTCGCTGGCCCTTCCCGGCGGCCTGAGGGCCGGCGGCTGCGCTCGGACTCGAGCCGGGGATGCGGCCCCACCCCCCGCGGTCCCGGACTCGGGCGCGCCGCGCCCTCGGTTGGCGCCTTCGGCCCTTTCAGCCTTGTTTACTGTATCCCCTTTTTTCTCCTCCCCTGCCCCAACCCTGCACTCTGGTGCTGATCCTCAGCTCCCTTTCCTCCTGCGCTCGGGCCAGCAGCGCCCAGTTTTTGCAGCCAAAGGGGCTTGCGGGGTCGCCCTCTCCCCTCCAGTGTGTCAGGCTCGAGCCTGAACTCCAGGGAGGCGCAGGGACTCGCCCCCTCCTCAGACT